ATTTTTTTTTTTTATTTTTTTTATTTTGTTGTTCTAAGAAAAAAAAACAAAAATTTTAATGTCGAATTTCAACGATATATATTGCACAAGAATTTTATTCGTAGTTGAAGAGTGACAAAATATAAATTATTATTCTACTGAGCTTTATATTGTATTGTATAATATCGGTATTTATTATGTGTTTTAATGCATAATTTTAACAAATTATATACCATTAAATATTTATTATGTATTTTAATACATAATTATAACAAAATATATACCATTATCTATTTATTTTATATTATAAAAAAAATGAAGGGACTGGGAGATGTCTGACATAACTTCTACATGTAGAATGAGTGCTAGACTTTTTTTCTTCTCTTTTCAGCCACGTCATTGTGATTACCATCTAGACATTAAGGGTTGGAAATGTTTTTTACTAAATTGCTTCTATATTTCTACAATTAACAATCTATTGGAGATGCTCTAAATGGCAACGACAAGAAAACCATGTCGGAGATTATTTTTATTTTTTCATTTATGATTTTTTTTTTCTTTTCTTTTTTCATATTTGGAATTCAACATGTACTGAAATACTTCTCTAATCAATTTTACCTCTTCAATGGTGAATAAAAACACATACTTGTATTAAAAAAAAAATACTACAATTTCGATAGATATTACAGAAGCCCGAAATAGTGTGTCGAACCTAATGATTAGGTCCGTCTAACATAAGACCTATTGTCGGAAAAATCCTCGAAAGCAAGAATCAGATGTAAGAGTTTGGATCATAAGAGAGAGAAAAACTCAGAACTAGAATGAACTTCACATATATGCAGCTTATGTGACATTCTAATCTACAAGCTATGACCACAAATAATTTACACATGCATTTGTTTATGTTATCCTTTTCTCTATCCACATCTTCAACACTCACATAAACATCACAATCCATTCATCTTGTCACTACTTAATAAGCCCACCTCAAGTTTTAAAGTTACACATATATATTTGTTGTTTACATTGCAAACTTTAGCTTCAAACATGTAAGCACATCAAGAAGAAGAAGAAGAAGAGAGTTAGTTCTACTAGTTCAATAAGGAAGCAAAAAACTAAGGTAATTTGATGTACATTTTGACACTTGATAATAAATATATGCATATACTCTCGGTCGATTTTGCTATTTACATGTCTCCTACTAAATTTCGCTTATGTCGATTGGAATAAAAGATTAAAAATGAGAAGTTATACATAACATAACCAATGAGTACCATAACATACAAATCATTGTCTCGAATGCAATAAATTTTCTTGGCAATATTACATTTTGTAGTGATTTTTTGAACTGTAAGCAGGGGAATTAAGCTCATTGGGAGATTTATATATGGCTGGAAAATTCAAGAAATGCATGGCGCTATGCTGCACCCGGGCGCTTGTGGTAATTTATATACATATTTTGTCGATCGATTGTTTTTTATATGCTATTATTTCGACATATATATGTGACCTTAATTACCCCAAAATTTGTTATTTCTAGTTATATTATATGCTAACTAGTTGAAATTTTTAAGTTTTAACTGTTATTATTATTAGAGAAGATGGTAATTTTTTCAATGATTTTTGCATTCATGCAGACAGAGGAAATAGGAAAGGACACATGTGAGGAAGCCATTGCAGGCCTGAATAAGCTTCTTAGGTAAAATTTACCATAAATAATAATAATAATAATAATAATAATAATAATAATAATAATAATAATAATAATAATAATAATAATAATTCATTTTACTTTATCCTTTCCCCTGATTTATTTTTTTTTTGTTTTATTTTTTCCCTTTATTAATTTATTGGACTGAAGTGAGAAAACCGAGCTAAAGCCGGTGGCTGCCGCCAAGCTGAGGCAGCTGACGGCTGAGCTGACGGCCCCCCGTGGAATTCCTGTGAGTACCGACCCGGTTGAGAGGATCCGAACCGGGTTCGCCCACTTCAAGAAAGAGAAATACGAGTAAGCTTATTGCTTGCTAACTATTCAAACTAATATAGATAACAATAACAATTACAAAAAGATAATTACTTAGCAAATTCTAATTTAAGTAAAAGAATGTAAATAATTTATTTTAGTTTTTCCTTGAACAAAATTTAATATGGGATTGCATATGATTTTTCTCAAGTATAGGAAGGATACTGCTCTGTATGCTAAGCTTGCCAAGGGCCAATCCCCAGAGGTATTAGAACTATAATTATATATATATATATATATATATATATATATGTGTGTGTGTGTGTGTGTGTGTGCACATATTATTGTGTATGTTTTTTATTTAATGTATAAATTATGATGAAAAAAATAAATAAAAAAAATTGCAGTTCTTGGTGTTTGCATGCTCTGATTCAAGAGTATGCCCTTCACATGTACTTAATTTCCAACCAGGGGAGGCTTTTATTGTAAGAAATATTGCCAATATGGTCCCTCCTTTTGACAAGGTATATATACTTATTATTTCTAGTTATTATATTCAATGTATACTTTAGTTTTCAAAAATGAAGTTATTTTATGATGTAGGGAAGCGTACGAGTGGGACATAAATTGAGAACAGTCTCAAAATACCAAGAACAATATCAATTTTTATTCATTAATTAACCATCTATCAAAGTCACGGGGTTGAACAATATATAATAATCCTAATCTTAGT